GGTAGGGGCGAGTGACTAACGTCATTGATCTGGAATTTAACGGCACAGCCAAAAATATAAAAAGTCGAAATGTCTATATAATGTCTATAGGATAACCAAACCAAAACCACACAAGACAGCGGAAGTTTTCGAAAATCAAATGTAAACTCATATGTGCTAATTGACAAACCGCTATCGATATTACACAGTATTAAATTGTGATTTAAGAAACAGTGTTATTCCAAAAGCCACGGCCAACTATCGTGTTCTCGTTCCCGCGTTCGTAGCCGGGATTTCCACACCTCGTTACCGGACTCCACACGCATTAAAAACGCATCTAGAGCTGACCTAGCCAACGAGCCATCGATCCAGGTCAGGCAGCACTGCGCGTGCGCGTGCGCGCCGCCCCGCTGAACTTTACAATAATGTATTCCACGGAAAGAGGAGAAACAACGCAACATTAAAATGAACATCAAAACTGTCATTAGAGGGTTTTACGTCCAGTCGCGTCTCTGAGGGGGTCCTGACCAGTCATAACCTAGGTGAGCTGCTGTGTGGTCCGCGGTCCCGTGCCACGCCGTACGGCCTACAGCCGCAGGCCCCTCGACTGGGGTAGTCGTGGTCAGCACCGGCCCGTTCCGGCTAGATGCCACAAGAAGGGCACATGGGAAAGAAATACAGGTCGCGTGCGAGATCTACCAACACTGTATCGCAAGGGCCGAAGCACTGCATACTCTATTGTATGTGTCGCACCCCTCTAGTCTACCCGCATCGACAACAGCGCCGCGATTGGTTGCAGTGCGAGAAAACCTCGTGTGAGCATCTACGCAACGACTGTGGGACATCCACCCGCAGCCGATAGGAATCAATAGGAGGGAGATGGGAACGGGGCGGAGAGAGGGAGAGAAAGGGGGGGAGAGAGAGAGAGAGAGAGAGAGAGAGAGAGAGAGACGCCGCACCGCAGCCAGCTGCCGCGCCGCGCGGCCCGCGGAGTGGAGGGGGTAGCGTGGAGGAGTGGGGGGTCGGGCGCGCTCGGCTCTGCTCGGCGGGCCGGGCTGACTAGTAGCGGCGCGGCTCGGTCCCCCTCCATCAGTCAGGTTGGCCGAGTGGTCTAAGGCGTCAGATTTAAGCTCTGATCCCCTCATGGGGTCGTGGGTTCGAACCCCACACCTGACATTCCTTTTTCTCGACTTCGCTTCGTCGCCATCGCTGGTTTAGACCCACGGATTCAAAAACGCGTTGTCGTCTACTCTCTTATCCACGAAAGCACAAATAATCTCAGAGGCCGGTCCAGGTGCAGCGTTCTCCGCTGGGTGGGCGCCGCTGCCACTTGTCCGGAAACACGCGTTGTAACCGTGAGAGAAGCCCGCGGCGGGTGGCGGAAAAAGGGAGAAACCACTCAGGTTTTGGCACCGCCCAGCAGTGCAGTAGTGGCTGTCATTATTCCGCTTCCTGCTCGGCTGGCGGGAGAACGTGCAGTGTCACCCTGCGACCTCCCCCGGGTAGGGAGATAAGCAAGGCCGGCAACGAACCCCGTGGCGCCCGAGCACCGAGCCGCGCACCA